TACCATTGCAGACATATTTCAACAATGTGATATTACAGTCAGATCTTTTTCAATCTCTAAATATGAAGCATAAACCAATTTCCGTAAGCGACAGCTGCGGCTGCAAGCCCAAAAAATATTGTTATTAATTTCGGTTCACACCTGGAAGGAGTTGGTCCGAACCACTTCAAGTATTAATTGGGTTAACAGCCATGATACTGTGTACTGAAACTCATAAAACTTTAAAAAGCATAGAGACTAAAAGAGTTGCGATTTTAGAATGGAGTTGGAGATTTTTCCTTGGGTGTAGACAAGCCCAAAAATGTTTGACCTGCACATAAGCATTGTTTGCTCCCATAGAAATGGGGCCAAATCACAATTTATTTGTGTAACGCCCAATAGACCTAACTTCACTTCTTTGAAGCGGCTTACCCAACATTTTGTGGACATTTTTCGTTTAAGCCCTGATGAGGGTTGCCCGGGCACAAGTCACAAGCCGACTAATTGGTATTGTTGTTGCTGTAGTCCTTGGGGGAGAATCTCTTTAGCTGACAGCAACAAGCAGAGAGCTCATTGTATCCAAGGCTTAAACGCATACGACGCTCAATGCCAGTTAGTTGTGGACTTGAGTGGGCCAATAATAATTAGCCAAATGGCTGCCTACTTGCGTTATTGCAACTTTGTAGCCGCTTTGGTTGCATGGGCCACATAAATAACTCATATGATTTTGGTTGGGCGCATCTTTTGATTTTGCGCCAAATATTTTACATTTAAGGCGCCATAAATAAATGCCCGCTCAGCGCCCACTGACTTAACCAATTAAAGCATGAATTATAAGCCCGAACAAATCGCCAAGTTTGCCCAGAACAGGAGGCCCCAAGGCGGCTGAGCCATAAATTTGTGCTAGCCAAAAGTCAGCCTCTGTCTGGATTTATTAGAGCCAAAATGTGGTTTCTAATGTTGAATGTGGCCAAAAGCGCGAAGCGAACAATTTTCGATGATTTGCGTCATGCGGCGCAAAAGAAAGTTTTTGTCTTTTGTTTCTGTGCGGCTTTCGGTGCTGGCAACTAACTTGCAGCCACTTCATGTGGCAAGTTTAAGGCGTGCAAACAAAATCCTAAAAATACGACGTTAGCTTAAAGTTGATGCTTTAAATCAGTTTGTGCAGTTACGATAAATAGTTAACATAATTCATACACATTTTTACCATGCATAGTTAAAAACCTTTTAAAGTTTCGCAGAAGCTAACAAATTCAAGCAAGTGCATTTGTCTCATGGGGCGTCGAATAGCTGATGCTCTTTCGGCATATACTAAAAATTGGGGAATCTGAAATTATATTTAATACTAAAATCGAGGTGTTAACGTACAGTATATAAATAATTGAGGATTATTTAAAATCTTGAAAGACATTTTTTACTTTAATGCTTTATTAAAATAAAAAATTTGTATATATTTTTTAATTTTACTAGAAAATGTCGGCAGCCTTAGCTAGAATATGAGAAAGGGGTGTTGTATTTGAATCTAACAGCTATCTAGAATTATTTATAATGTGGAATGTTTAATTTAATTTATTCTTATTGTTTTAAATTCTTAAGTCGCTATTATCACGAGTGGTTTTTCTTTATTTTAGAGTGACCAGCTGGTATTTATTACAAAATACTTATATCTTGCTTAAACAATTGTTGCTTTGCAACTCTAGATATTGTTGTTGCTGAGTTTTAAATAAGTTGTGTTAAAATGTTCAAATTGTGCAAAAATCAGCTTAGGTAATACCTAAGGTTGGAAACTTTTCAGATTTTTATTTTGGCGAGAATTCAGATGCCTGAACATCCTTAAAGAGGATCATCTGATAGATGGAGTTTTTCATACGAAGAAATCTATTTTAATACTTGACTAACAATACCCCAGCATTACAACTGGGAGGGTAGACAATATGTCGAAGAACTGGCTCGGATCTGTCTAGGATACAGCCTGGCTATAGCTATAATATGCCACAGCACTTCCTTTCGTCGAATGTGTTCAAATGAGACCAGTGAACTGTGTGTTGCTTTTTTCGAAAGGGTATAAAATTGTTAACACAGATTCACTAAAGAGTTTGGGCTCACAAACAGCTACAGCCAATTGCAACGGTAAACAGTATAATGCAACAGCAGCCACGTCAGATGGAGGTGGTGCTGATGCCACCCATTGGCGCCCATTATTTATAGACAGGCAATTTTCACGCGCTTTTTCTCACTGGCTGAAAACAAACAAACCAAAAAATAGAAAGAAAGAAAATGCATGCAAAATTCAAGCCTCGGTGATTTTTATTTATGAGCGTCATTGCTGATGATTGTAACTGTGGTGGTGGAGTGGAGGAGTCTGGCAGGGGGGGAGGTGTGCAACGTGTGGACTGGCGTCCGACAGTCAGGGCATTAACAGATCCGCGACTATAAACCAAAATTACCGTGGCGCCATCAGCGTCTGCTTTTTATTTGCCTGTTTGCAGCCTTATTTAATAAATTGATGGCAAATACTGCAATTGCCGCTCGGAATTTTTGCTATTTACCGAGTGCAAATAGTGTGAGAGAGAGAGATGGAAGAGTGGAAATATGGGACGATCAGAGGACGCAGGTGTCTGCCCAACCGATGCCCCCCTGTCAGATTGCGTTACTTAAAATTTTAAGGAAAAACAAAGTGGAAAAAAGTTGAGACCGAATATACTGCTGCATACGACTGATAGATACCATCTACTCAGAAATCAAATATATTAATGGAAAAATGAGAGAGTCGAGAGAATGTTGTTTTTGTTCCAAGCGATAATTATTTCTAAATGTCAATCGGAATGCTTTTCTATCTGCCAGAAGGAAAGAGAAGCGAAAAGAATGCGATACGTTAACAGTAAAATAACTTTCTTGCAACACATTCAACAAATTTAATATCTTTTACATATTCCTCTCCATTTCCCTCTTACTCAATTGATTACAGGGTATGTACAAAATAACGACAAACGCTTTTTTGGGAATTTTTCAATGGCATTTTCAGTATATAAATCAGTTTAATTTCGGCTGCTTTGTGGGGCCAATCTGATAAGTTACATAGCACCTGTTTGGCATGCAAAGCGTCGGGCATTAAGCACTAAACAAATGTGGAAATTTGGCAAAGCTCTCCCGCGTGCGCCCAGAAGTAGGCAGCGTTTATTCTCGTATTCACCTTTCGGCTGTGGCAAAAATATGTCCGCCATTTTGTTTGCCATTTTTAATGTGTTTTATTTCGTGTGCGTGTGATTTTCCTCCTCTTTTTTTGTGTGTTACGTGGCTGCTGCTGGCGTTTCAGTTCTCATCTCTACTTTTTTTGATTTGTTTCTATTTTTTTATTTTGTGTTATTTTATTGTTCGGAATGTGTGCGTGAGTTTACGCTTTATATCCCTTCGCTACGTGGCCGACGGTTTACTTTTATAATCTACACCAAAGCCCGAGCGCGAACAGAAGCTGTAGCTGGATGGCGGGTCGCTTTGTGGTAAATTTGCAAAATGCGTGCACAGACTAACACTACACACTCAAACACACACACACACACATACGCGGGGATCTTTTTTTATGCTACCGAAAAAAATGTTCCGCTGGAAATTCTTTTATCATGTATGCATTTTGCTTTTACTTATGTTGTTTTTTTTGTTGGTCGCAACGTAAAAATGTGAAAAATGCATTGGCATTCCGCTTGGCTCTGAATCGTCACAAGTTAGTGCCACTGTTCAAAAATCAATTAAAAATCCAAAAATCGCGCGACACTACACTAAAAATCTGCCCATTGGCAGCGTATTTTAATCCGCTTACAGCGCACGCGGAAAACTTGACGAGAAATGCAATTTAATCGCTTGAATATTTTCGGGCTTTTGCACGTTTTGTTCAGGTCTTAAATGCAAATGCTTTTCTCTATTATAAGTCCTGCAAAAAATTCTCCGTTATTAAATCCTGTGTTTAAACAGTTTGTTAAAGTTTCGTTTTAAGTTTTAAATTTTTTAATAATTTTCTGCCATTTATTAAGAGGCTTTTCTGTGAAATAACCAAAATGCCAGCCACAAGGCATTGCACAATGCCAAAATATGGTTAAGCTAATCAACTGGCCAAAATATAAAGAGGGTCGCCTAGAGCCAAAGGAAGCCACAACAACAACTACAGGAACCCAAATTGAGCTGAAGGTGTTGGTGGCTGCTTGGGTTTGAGTTGCCAGAAAACAAGATTAAAAACCTTTCAGCGTCAGAAATTGAATTCAAATTCAACACACAAAAGTATGCAAAGAATTGAAGGCTTTTTTTCTGCTGCTCTCCTCGCCTGACTGTCTCTCTGTATGTCTGTCTGTCTGTCAGCAAAATGACAAATCGAAACGAACTGACTGCAACACAACACTGTTAGCATGTGTGTGAGGGTGGAGTTGGGTTGCGTTGGGCACATGAGTAAATACCACTTAGAAGTCAAGCAGCAGGCACTAACAGCCGAAGACGTGCTCAGCAGACTGGGGGCAGGCTATGGCAGAGATCGTTGGACGGCTTACAGCAACTTTGAATATAACTCATACGCCCCGTGGTACGCGCTGCCTATGCCCAGCCGCACGCATTGTACTTTTGTCGTTGTTGTTGTTGTTGTTGTTGTTGTTGTTGCTGTTGCTGTTGTTGTTGTTGTTGTTGTTGTTGCTGTTGTTGTTGCTGTTGTTTGATGTGCCTTTGCAAGAGTCGAATTTCAAGTTTTTAAGTATTATTACATTCCTTAACCCTTCTCAAACGAATTTGTCTGCGCAGTTTTTCGCCTTTTTCGTTTTCAACCTATTATTATTGACTTTTTGGCGACGCGTCGTTGGCATCTCATGTAGCTGTCGCCGCGCTCTGTACCCGATGGCCAAGTCAAGTGCACGTGCCAGCGTCTAGTCGGAGGCATGCAATTGTTGGCGGCCTGCCACATGCCAAGCGCTCGTTGCATGCAACCAGATGAAGCTATTCGAGGCAATAAAATCAACTGGGCAAAACTTCATCTAGCTGCTGGGTAAATCTTTTGCCATTTGCCTTTTAAGCTTGCACTTTACTTATGCGCCATTTTCCGTGGCATGTAACATATTGTATGTGCCACGCCCCCATTTACAATTCATATGTATTTACACATAAGATTATTGTATGCCCCGCACACCGCCTCAAATGCACTCCAAAAGACTCGCAGTCCAGCCTGCAACTCCACTTGTCTCTGTGTGTGCTCTGGCATTGCTTTTTCCCACTCGGCACTTGCAGAAAAATGTTGTTGTTATTCTTGTTCTTTTTGTTGTTGTCAATGATAACGGAAACATCAAATAAATATTATTTTCCATGCTCTTACATTTCTCGTTGCATAACTTCACCAGACATATTTGGCATTTCAATATATTCCTTGGCTTAGTGCTGTCTGCCTGTTTATTTATTCTAGTTTTTTTTTGTCAGACTATTAACCTTTTGACTGGTGTGTGTGTGTGTGCAATTGGTCAAGTGCTTATCAAAGTGAACAATATCATTTGAATTATATTTACAGCTTGCTATAATCTCTTCAAACCCAACTAATAATATGATGCCTGGCCTGAGCACCTGCTTATGTGGCCTTCATAGCTGTGGCAGCCTGTTGGCTGGCGTGGTGCGTGGCATCAGCTAAAGCACAGCTGCTTTTATTTTCAAAGTAAGCTTAATGGGGATTAATTCTTAATGAGGCATATGCCCAAATATTTAAATAAACCACAAAAAATGAAATACACAAAGCTCATATTATTCATATTTGTTATAATGTGCATGAAAAATAAGCTGCTTTGTTGGCAACTGATATAATTATGAGGACTTTAAAGTGTTCAAACTCCCTTTCATGCTATTAGCATATGGGATTGAATGTGGTATGTAAAATATATGTGAGGTAAGATTAAGTATATAGGACTTGTGTAAACAATGCGTATTGCAGTCGAAAATATTACCGATATTAATAAGCCAGTCTACAAAGTGAGAATAAATATTGATTTTTAGCTTTTAACGAATCAGTTGTTTAAATACAGCCCTATAAAAAATTAAATGAATCTAGACATTTTATAAATAACTAGCGGGTATAACCCGGCCTTGCCCGTGGCACGTATATTATAAAATCAATGTTCCCAAACAAATTTTAAATGATTTTGAAACTGATCGGACGGTAAACAAATAACTTTCATACAAACGTTTTCCGCCAATTTACCACTGTGGCGGGTGGAATTTCCCAAATCGCTGAAATACGTAGTTATTAAGTTCTTATTTAGAGCTTTGAAAATAAGTTTGAAGCAAATCGGACACGACTTAAAACTTCGCCCAAAAAATCTTTAAATCGCATTCCCCCCGAAGAAGTTTGAATTCTGCGAAAAGTGTGAAACACGTCTCAAATGATTTTTCTTATTGATCTCTGGAAATGAATTTGAGCGCGAAACTTCACCCACCAAATCTTTGACCTCCATTTGCACCAAGGAGGGATGGATTTTTCAAAAAGTGTGAAACACCCTTCAAATGAATTTGAACAAAGATCTTTGAAAATAAGTTTGTATGTTTTTTTTTAAACAAAAAAGTTACATACAAACGTTTTTCGCGATTTTTCCACACTTGCGGGTGGAATTTCCCGAAACCCCGTCTTAACGTGCACCTACATCACATAAGGTAGCTACAGTGAAAATTTCAGCTTCCTAGCTCTTACGGTTTGGGCTGTGCGTTGATCACCAATCAGTCAGTCAGTCAGTCAGTCAGTCAGGACAAACAGTTTTATATATAGAGATGAATGCGTATTTGTTTTTGGCAGGAGCATTTTAATCTTTATACGTTCGACTTCAAAAACGTTTTCAACTATATATTTAAAACGTCATTTATGCATTAAGCATGATTTACCGAAACATAAAAATTCACTAGTTGGTGATTTGATTAATTAATAGATCTGATTGGAAATCAACCTTTATTTACCCGAGCTCTGGTCATTTAAAGCTCAAAAATGGTTAATGTTAGAATCAAACAATTTTCGAAAAGGTTGTGATGTAAATTAAAATTTGTTACAAATTTTTTTAAAGTTATGTTTTTGATTATTCATATATCGATTGTATTTTTCTGATTAAAATGAGTCTGTTGGGTATGATAATTCCAACTAAAGCGCCTCTTCTTGTTACTATTATATCAGAAATAATTTTAACTGAACTTGTATTGAACTGTTTAAATGCTAGGTGAAAACATATTTTACATCACTGTTTAACAAACTTCTAATTAAAATATTTCAACTCGTTTGACTTAGCCTAGCTGTTGATTGTATTGCCGAATTTCACAATAACTCTGGGTAAATTTTATATTTAATTTGGCTGCAATATTTAACAAGGAATGCTTTTGTATACTTTGCAAAATTATAACATCATGAATTTTGAGCAACGGAAAATTATAAAACCTAATGTCATACGTACAATATATAAATATATTTCATGCGAACAAAGGCCGTAGTAAAAGCAACTCGAAAGGTATAAAAGACAACAAATTTACCAAAATAAATAGCATAAATAAGATGTGGCTGAAAGCATGCAAACAATAAATGCTCGAATGCCGCATACCTTAAGAAAATTAAAAAAAAAAAAAACTATATAATAAAGGAATTTCATTTATTTGAGGCTTACGAAGAATGCTGAAGCAATTCAAAAGGAAAGTATTTCCCATTCAAAATAATGTAGTGCAAAAAGTATTCCCAAAAATTTATGAATTCCATAGCAAGCTTTTAAAAATTCAAATATTGAATTATTTGTTAAATGTTTCGCATATATTTGCCATTAATTTACAACTAACAACATATTTGGTAAATGCAAAAATGGTTTATTTAAAATTAGGAATTTATTACGTGAGCCAGTTTCGCCCAGCTCCAAATGAAATGTGGAGTAAATTGTAAAATTGCTGGCATATGTGCTATTACAGGGCACAAGCGTTGGGAATATTTTGTTGTCTGTGCGTGTGTGTGTGTGTCTGTTAGTTTTTATGTTGGCTTAGCTGATGAAAATTTGAGGGCACATACACAGACCACACACACACACACACACACATAATGGCACATTGTCTGGTCTAGTATGCGTGTTTGTATAATATTTCAAGTACAAGTACGCGGTTGAACTGTCCAAAAAAAATGTGCGTGTGCATGTGTGTTTTTTGTTTTGTTGTTGATGTGATAAACGCGTCTAGAATTATAATTAAAGAAAATCTATGAATGCCTGCCCAGCACATGTGTGTGCGTGCGTGTATGTGCGAGACTTTTTCGCATTTTACGTGCTTTCATTAAAAATGAAAACATTGTGCCTTCAAGTCTGTCTGCCCGGATCGCTGCGGTGTCGCGACGTTTGCTAAGCGCCAATTCTATGCAGACTATAAATGTTGCCACACACACATGCACAAATAAATATATATATTTATACATATATATGTGTGTGTATAGGTGTGTCTGTGTGTGTAAGAGTCAACATCCCTGTGTGTGACATGTTTCAGTTTACGTCTGCGTGTGTGTGTGCGTGTGTCTGTGTGTGTTTGTGTGTTGCCATTACCATTGCCGTTGCCTTTGCTGTTGCCTGTTGTAATCTTGGTAATAACCACAAAAATTATTACGGTTCTGGTTGTTGTTGTTGTTGTTGCTGTTGCGGCTGCTGTTGTTATTGTTGTAAGTGCCAATATTGTCATTAGAGTGGCTTGTTACGGCAAAAAGCCGCAGCAACGCGTTGCCAGCAACAAAATGTGGCAACATCTTGCGGCATTTTTCGCTTTTCGCCGTCTTTTGTTTTTCGTGAAAGCTACACGTTTACTTGGCCACCCGCCCCGAGCCCAGTGCCTCCACTCAGCAACCCCCCTCGGGCTAACTAACTGCATCATTATTTTCGTCTTTACTTTGTTCATTAAAGGAACATGAAACGTTAATTTAATAAAGTCAAATTCGGTTCGCTTGGCTGTGGCTGTGGCTGTGGCTCTCGGTTCTCCCGGTTTTGGATTCTCGAGTTCCGACAGGTCGGGGCTATTTGTTCCCGGCGGCAATTCTAATTGAGCCAAGTTGAAAGCAAAGCCAGTCACAGACTTTGACTCACGTATGGCAAATGCCATTTCAAATTTTACTTGGCTGATTATGATGGGTTACCCGACGCCAACATCACAAATCTAACAAATATTTGAAATAAATAAGCAACAGATAGAAATTGAGACAGAGAAAAGAAAAGATATTACCGCATATATTCGGTTTTTTATTAAGGAATATTTGGTTTTATAATTTTATGAATACCTATTACAATAAGGAAAGAAGTTCGATGGTGAGCCGAAGAGAAGGATTAATATATGATTATAGTCATTATTCAAGAGGGCTTATATTCTGAATTGTTAAGAACTTATAGTAGGGGACAGAAAAAAGAAGGAAAGAGAGAGAGAAATAAAGAGAAAGAGCGAGGGAGACAGGGACAGAGAAAAAAAGGAGAGAAAAAAGAGAGAGCGAGCGAGGGATAGAGTGAGTGAGAGAGAAAGAGAGAGAGATTGATAACAAACATAATTATGTATTCAAATATGGGTAATAATGAAAGAAGATGATTATGCTGAATAAAAGCAAATTTTAAAAGATCTCATCTGAAAGAGGGAGACAAATTTGGAGAAACACTGTAATAATAAAATGTGTAAAAGACTTCGAAAGAAAGCATTTTAGAAAGTGAGATTCTTAAACGTGAGATGGAGAAAAAGTGGGAAATAAACAAAAATAAAAGTAAGAGAGAGAGAGAGAGAGAGAGAAAGAGAGAGAAATCTTTCTCTACCTATAGTAAATCTATAGATTCATTATAATAGATTATTATGATAAAATCGAATTGATTTCGCAATTAACAACAGTTTTAATCAGACTATAAGTAAAATACATATTACCAACTGCAATCCGGACAAAATTTCAAACTATATAAAGGGATTACAAGCCACATGCGTTACATACGGTTTAAGCCAGGCTAAAACTGAAAGTGCATAATCACGCACCACAGCGCTGTGGTGCTCTAAGTGGTCGTTAAGCTTTCAACGATAGTTGTAACCACCAACTCCGCCCGAAAGCACACCCTGCACTCCGCCAGTCAACGAAACACGTAAACTTTTTGCCACACACGTGGCCCAACAACAACAAAGTTCGACTGTTGCCAAGCCAAAACTGTTGGCACTTTTATTAGCATAAATATTTGTCAAATTCAACAGCAACAACAGCAGAGGCAGCAGCAGCAACAATAACATTCATGGGAAAAGTTTTAAGCGTTTTCATTGGAAATGATTTAACGAAAAATGCGCATGCTATATGTATGGCAACAGCCCCCCCCTCCACCCACACACAAACACACACTCGCCCACACAACTTCAACCCCCACGTAATGTGTTTCATTAAATCGAACTCAAACTTCCCCTCGGTTGCTCCCTGGCTGTTTCGTCAGTACAGGTTGCCCGCTTGCTTCTGTCGAGGTTAAATTGAAGAAATGTGTTCTAATTAGCCACACACGGGCCTTTTCCACCCCTAACCCCGTCCCCACACTCTACCAGTAGCAGGCAAAGTTTGTGCTGCCAAAAACTTGCTGTTAAAGTCGCATTAGCCGGTTAAAGGTACACGAGTACATGGCTAATGAGCTTCTCTTCTTCTCACGATGCCGTAAGCCAAAGCCAAGTTAAATTTATTGTTTGCCTGGCCAAAATAAGCCAGCAAAAGGTTGCCAAAGCTAATTTCGAAGCGCTGACGACTGCCCCCCAAAAAAGGGTTTGGCTTTTGCATAGAAGAAAAAAACTGTAACAGAACTAGAAACTATGTGAATGGCAAAGTTGAGAGCACTTAGTGTGGCTGTCAGTTTTGTTTTGTCTGCCTGCTAAAAGCCACCCTCCAGTGTGACCTTTGCCACCCTCCACCCAACCTCTTAACGGACTGCTTTTTTTAATGCCAGCGAAACAGAGCGAAAAGTGAGCAACAAAATGTTGGTAGTTAAATTTGCTGCGGACTATTTGGCTTGACTATTGATGTGCGCGCATTAAAAAACAATTTTTATGCACAGCAGCAACAGAAACAACAACAGCAGCAACATTCAGTGGACAACTTGTAGCCAGTTCTCCCTCGGATCTGCTCAGTTCCGGCAGCGGACAACAATGAAGCCTTAAGTGGACTTTTATTGACTTTTAGTCAAAACGAATTTCGACAATTTATCGAACACAGTTCGCCGCGTGTTCATTATGCAAAGACGATGATGATGATGATGATGATGATGAACACAACAATGATAATGATGATGCTGTTGTTGCTGATGAGTCCAGCACGTTCTGATGGAATGGCCGAGCCGGGCGTGTCATGGATTGTCATTCACCTAGCTCATCAATTTCACATTTGTTTTTTGAACGACCCTCGCTGCTCATTCAACTGTTGATGCATTTATTTTTCCAACACTTAATTGTATGCGAGATTGACAGAAAATTGTACTTCATCTAGAATTGAGCACTGGCAGCACTCCATAATGAATGGGTAGTTCAAATATTTGCACAGTCTTTGATGCCATCCATTTTGTATCCCTTTGAGTTGCGCTCGATTTAACATTGATGCAAATCAGAACTAAACATTTTAAAGATATTTCAAGCTCGGCTCAAACTCATTCGCTGCTTTGAATTTCGCTTCGTAAACCTTGTTTTTCACACCCATAAACTCAGGCTTCAGTTGAAATATTTTCTACAAGTGTATTCATTATTTAAATTTGAATAGTTTCGAACAGTATTTTTCTTAGATGTAAGTAGAAGCAAACTATTCGGCTCTATGCTTTTCCCTGATGAATCCTAACGTTAAGTTAATATATGTATATTTAGATACATCCCTTAAATTATCTTTGTTAAGCTAGTTCAACTCATCTACTGAAAGCGTTTCCCTATCAGAACTATTTGCAACCTTTTCCAGGTTCACATGAGCATTCTAATTCTCGACTAGCCGAGCGTCTGGCACTCAAGCTATTTGCCTATCTCAATCACTTTTAAAATCTGTACACAACTGTAGCAATTAAGCGAGATAAAATGTTTGCCAAGTGAGTGATGGACAGAATGACAGACAGTCGACGGACAGGCAGCCGGACAGCCAGACATGCGAACAGAAGAGAGAGTGTTTGGCTTTCCATTCAGCTCGTAAACAGTAACAAATCAAATTGGCGACAGACAGGAACAGCCGAGGCGGATGTTAAGTGTGAAGCAGACAACTGCAGCATAACAAGCAACAACCACATCAGCAGCAGCAGCAGATACCATAGCACTTACGGTATTGGTAGCAGTAGCAGTAGCAGTAGCAGCAGCAGCAGTAGCAGTAGCAGTAGCAGCAGCAGCAGCAGCAGCAGCAGCAGCAGCAGCAGTTGCAACAGCTGCAACCACAACAAACCCAACAGCAGCCGAATGGACTTCACCTCCGTTTGAGCATACAAATTTAATAGCATTTGGTTTATCGTCTGCCTGGTCTGATGACAGTCAAAAGTTGAATACCTAAGTATATCCCGGAGTACACTACAGTACAGCTTCGACATGCAGTGACTGCTTGCAGCCAACAATTATCAGGCTTGAAAGACAGAAGAAGTTAGCTAAAGCCTGCAGAACAGAATATTACTGTGCTAAGAGTTAAAATAAAACTAGAATATTAAATATTCTGCTAATTTAAATTGAGCACCGTCCAGACATAGTTTTACATTAATATTATTTACAACGCTTTAATATTGTTTTGCAATGCGAAGCCAAAAAAAAATATCTAATTACTTAACCTAATATTAAAAACAAACTTGTTTTGGTATAAAATGAATATTGTTCAACAAGCAGACAAAGTTTGAATAGAAGGCATATTCTATTATTATTTGTTACATTTTAAAATTATAATAAAACATTTACCGTTTCCTATATATTATGTGATATGATATGAGCTTGGCTTTATTTTGTTTGCCCAACAAATTTGAACTAATTTGCAGTTAATTATATTAAGCATATAATTTTATAAAACTATAATTTATACATGTTTTACACACTTCAAATAAGTTATGAATATTTTTACCATACCATTTTTTATTTGCAACTAGTTTTCGAGCTCATCATAAAGTACTTATGCAGTGAAATTCCCTGCGCTGCAATGATATGAGCTAGTTTAAGTTTTCCAGTTGTTTTTGTAAATATGATACACTACTGTTTGCACGGAATGCATGACAACACTTTATTACAGCTGCCAGACAAAGGTCGGCAAGTCAAAGAAAGTATCTGACAAGCAGCCAGCCCTCCTTCTGGTTAGAGAGGGAGAGAGGAAGCGCGGGACAGGGAGAGAGTTCTCTGGGCACGAAAGCAACAACCTGGTAGCTCGGTCGAGTGGCGGGCTAACTTTTTGCTGCAGGAATGCATAAGATTTATGCATAGCCACGCCCCGAACTAACTGAGCATCGCCATGGCCAATGTCTGCCTAAAATGCTCAGGTTATTAATTTTTGATACACGTAAATAATACGTTGGACGCATGTTGTAATCGTGTGTTATTTAGCTGAGTGCAGCACTTTAAAACAGTTTATTTTTCATGTTTTTTTGGTTGTTTGTCTAGGTTAATGGCAAATGATGCACCTTGCCAGCCCCAACCAAACCCCAGCCCAGCCCACGTCTGCCACCCACTTTGCATTGACTCGAGCTGAAAATCCATTTGTGCTCACCTTTTTCAGTAGCTTGTACCTGACTCAATGCACTTGCTTTTTATTTGACCTTTGGCATTGCGTTGTTTTCGGACTGACAAAAAGCAAGGGAAATGTTATTCAAACGAATTTGTTTGCCTGCCATTCAGCGCCTGCTCCATTCAGTCATCTATTCAGCCAGAGCGCTTGACCCTGAACCTTTCCTGGTTAAATGTCAAGAGCAGCGCTTTGGGCGCTGTTGAAATTAAGCGAGCGAATGATTAAAAGGCCAGATACAGAGTATTTGTTGCCTCGCATTGAACTATTTATGGCTGAGCTGGCGCCAGAGCAAATGAGCTGCTTTCTGAGATGTTTGTGCATAAAATGTAATTGAATAATAAAATGCGTCACCCGTTTGCACCAAAATGCATGTTAAGACGTCTCTTGTACGCCCTCCCTCGACTCCAAACGTATCCCATGTGCGTTTGTGGCCTGCTAATAATAAAAATGGACGCTGAGGCGGTTATAAATGCTGGCGTCACCAAACTTTTGCGAATGGACATAATGCGACGTCGTCATCATCAGCCTCATTGTGGTTGTTGCTGTTGTTGTTATCCTGCAGGCGCGCAGCCAGCCAAAGAAAATCAACTTAGCAAAGGCAAAAAATAAAAGAAAAACAACAACCAAAAACTTGTGGAAAGTCCATTAAATACATAAACCTGCCACGAAATGTTCATGGAAAGCGCATAAAGAAACTTTGTAGCTGCTCCACAGTCTCTGACTGCCGCATGGCGCGACAAAGTCAATGGAAAATAGAAAATGCTGAAACTATTTATGCGCACCATATGTGACGCGCACACACAAACAAACACATACACACATCTTTGGGACTGGGCGTAATAACTTGATTTGTTCACAATGCGGGCGAATTGGCTAGTTTGGGTCAAATTGTCGCAGATGCAGCAGCAAATGGCACACCCCGCATTGAAGTCAGCAAAAAGTGAGCTACAACAATGGACACAGCTCGATTGTCCAGTCAGCGTCAGTTTCTGGCTTATTTATGACTTCCTTTGCCAGAAAGCGCTCAAAAACATTATTTTGCCAATATAGCAGAAATCGATGCACATAAAATATATCTATATATAGAAAATGCATAACATTTGCCAGTTGCCGCCAGCCACGCCCATTACAACAAAAATGAAAAGATTTGAGAGATTTTAACAGTGTTGGCAACGCGAAATAAGATTTATTATGCTATGTAGAGAAATTTATTGTATTTTTAAGTGAATTCAATTCTCCATAAATTACATACTATATTTACCGAGTTTATTTCGAAATAGCATCGATTAATGACTTATAACTTATGACTAGTAACCAATGACTTATAATTAATGGCTAATGAATTCGATCTAATGACTGATGAACAATGACAAATTGCTTATACCTGATAACTTTCGAATGACGACGACTAATTACTAATGACCAATGATTAACTAATTAGGGCTTATAACTAATGACTAATGTATACTGACAGACCAATGACTAATGACGGATGTCTAATGAATTTTAAATTATATATAAAGGCTAATGACTTATTATTAATAACTAATGAACGTGAAGCCAATTAATACATTTTTTTAAATTTTAATATCAAAAAAAGTTTAAGTAAATACTATTTTGTGTGCTAAATTTAATTTAGAAATATTGTACAGCAAACAGAGAAATGAGGAGTGTACTTTTAAAGATGCTATAACGGAGCAGGAAACCATTAAGAATGCATAAATAAATATAAATAAAACGAAAGCACTTGCCAGGCCATTAAAAATGCTATCGGTTTTCAATATCTGGTTTATTTTCTTAACTGCCAAGGCTCACTTAATGCAGAAGATAAATTAAACAAGTTATTAAACCTGGTGACCTGGCATCAACAAAATTTTATGAGGTTCTCAATAAACAAAAGTGTAAAGATAGAACTGGGTATGTTGCTTGCCTGGCCATTTAATAAATGAGTTGAAGACTCGAGTTGGGCAGACTCAAAGTAGCACTCAGCTGATGGCAAACCTTTTGAGTGATTTCTTTGAATTAATTCAGAAACTTTGCTCATGACTTATGAGTTCTTGGCAAACATACGCATGTGCTTATTTACATTTGAGCAAATCTTTTTATCTGCACAAAAGTTTAGCAAAAGAACCAAAACCATGAAACTTGTTTAATGCAAAACAAGTGCATACATTATGAAGTGCTTGTTTGAGCTTTATTTAAATATGAAATTAATTGCTAAATTCATAAAAAAGATTTTTATATGTGAATGACATATAGACTAGCTGTATCTATCATTTATTTAGATAAATAAATCATAAGTTACCCAGCTAAAGCAATTAAAATTTGCATACATTTCAAATATATATAAAATTGTGCTACTAAAAACTAAGCGAGCACTCGAAATTGTAAGCACGACATGCGAAACATGCCAGGCGAGCAGACGGGTTAGACAGCATTTTGTAATTCCGTGAAATTGGAAAATTACGCATACGCCATGTGGTGCTAGAAGCAAGCAAGTTTTAAGTGCTCTCTAGCATAAAAATGCTAATGGTCCTTTTGCTCGTATGGCAAATAATTACGAAAAATACAAAAGGCATTTACATGCATCAAAACATTTGGCTTGTTTGACTAGAAGATGCGCTTTGTTGTAAAATAAATATATATTTCAATTAAAACTTATTTAAATTCGTCCGGCTTTTTTAGTACAGTGTGCATATAAAAATGGAATTTTTTTAAAGCTTAATATTCAATATAGCACTTTAAATACCAAAATAATTTTAAACAAATAATTTGCATTCATGCATTTATTAAGATATTTTTCCTTTAAGCCGCCAATCCTTTTCTGATAGCTTTTCAGTATTGCCTTTTGCTTAAGCTGAGGTCTGGACCACATATCATCGACATATATGCAAATATATGTTCGAACATGAACTGTTTATTTTTGAGTGTAGCTCGGAAAATGGTTTGTGTTTTGGGTATTGCGCCCCATATTTGTTTAGGATCTGATGCCGAGTGAGGCTCTTATCCCTTTTCGCATAATTTGCGAGCTAATCTGCTGTGATTTATTCATAGACTCTCTTTTTACGCCATTAGTTTTGAGTTTATTTGGTAAGCCTGCCAGGGATTAGCTCCCACTTGCTGGTCTGACGAGGGCGTGGCTTACACACCAATTAATATTCATAATTAAAATACGAGTCGCGGCTTGCATTTATACCAGTTGCCAGGCATTATTTACTCAATGCGGGCCATCCATTTGCCAGGCAGCGAGGTTGCCACGGTTAAATGCAATGCATTTTATATTCATAATGGACATTTTTTTATAGTATGTATACGTATGTGCATATGAAGAAGCTGCGATCTAGGCAACATAATGCACAACAATAAATTTATTCAGCGCATGCCAAGGCAGAAAGGACACTTGAAGGCTGTTGCCACAGCGTGAGTGTGAGTTTGTGCCACATGATTTATGTTGCGGTCCTACATTGCACTTGCCGCACACTTGCTGATATTGCGCTTTTGATGACTGGTTATTTATCGTATATGAATATCTATGAGCTGCATAAATACCCATTAGCGAAACGTTTTGACTCTAAAAGCCAACTGTGCGAATCTTTAATGCCTGAACCATGTTATAGCCATATCATATTGGCCCGTTGGGGGGACTTAAACAACAACAATGCTTCACCCCGCCTCCAGACCAATGCCAATAATGAGCTTTGTATTGATAATGCAACTAATTAGC